ACTTTTTTTTTTATTAACAGGAAACTGTTTGGGGCATTAAAAATGCACAAACAATATGTTGACCGATGTTTTTCATGTGATTTCCATGAACGTGTACATGCTTTATTGTTAAAACATCTTTTTGTTTTCTATTGTCGAACAGTGAAAAATTAATAGAACAGAAATGTTTACAATGCCTACTCTGGAGTGAAACTAAGTGATTAAGATAAACTATAGGCTGCACAAAAAGTGAGTTTTCTTTGCATAAAGGATCTACGAATGTACTCTAAAGGCTAAGGCTCTGTTCACACTAGTGCGATTTCAGATGCAACTTGTGCAGAATTGCAAGACAATGGAATGTTGTTTTTAATGGTGCCGGTTCCCTTTTTAAAAAGTTTTCTGTACTACTTTGGTGTGATTCCAGCACAATTTTAGCTCCATAGAATATTCAAACCACTTCAAAGTAGCATCCAAGTTGCACTGCATAAGCACACTGAAAGTTGATACAAAATCCAAAATGAGATTTGCAGCAGTGTGAACCTAGCCTTAAGTGATATTAAAAGTTCACTTTTTCTTTTTGACAGTCTTGGCTCTCTGTTGACAGTGGAGGGGGAGAACTTAATGATCAGCGGTGTTTGATTGCTCAGTTCTCACTACAGAGCTAGCAGGGAATCAGTGCTGCATCCACCTAGTTAAGTATAAAGGCTTCTTTTTTTTTTTAAAGCCCATACTTCTCTTTTAACTTGTAAGGAATCTTGCATTCTCTTCTGCTGCCACTAGATGTCAGCTGTTCTAATGGAGACAATTCTTACATTCAAGGACATCTGTGGCAAGAGAAATATTAAGGCTGTTATTGTTGACCTTCTAAAACTATTTTTCTTTATGACTGTCTTTGGCTTTAATGATTTTGAAACCACGGACCAGGAATAGCCTTGCAACATGCTTAGGCTCCATGCACACTGGGCGTTTTAATAACACTGGTAACGTTAGCTGTGTAAAGTCACATTAACCTCCCTGGCGGTATGATTATTTCAGATTTTTGGTGCTGAAAGCGGTACCATTATTTTGCATGGATTTTTTTTATGGTAGGCGTTAATTTTTAGGAATAACTCACTGAAATCTGTCCGAACAAGAGTCTAGTAAACATCCCGGATATGATAAAACTTGAAACATGAAATCATAAATTATAATTTAATAAATAATCATAAAAAATAATAATATAATAAATTTAATTCAATAATATAATAAAACCAAAAACACTGAAATTTGAAATAATAAGTTCTCAAATCGCTGAGCAAAGTCACAGAATCGTTTTCAGTATCTGATGACGAATTTCCCTACGAATCATTATCACTCAATTCTGCAAGTGGTTCTGATTTACTATCGCTGTTCTCTAGCTGGTCTAAAACTGCTTTTGACCTAAAGGGACACTTTTTGGACGCCATGGACTTTTCTAAGTTTCCAGGCAGAAAGAACAGTAAAAATGCAGGCAGGGCACAGGACAAAGCACTAGGGACAAAATGTATTGGAAATAGTTTGAAACAGCAATGTTTTACTATGTAATATTCATTTACAAAAAAATGCCATTTTTTAAAATTTGCTGTCGGTTCCCGCGCCCATACGTCCTGACGTCACAGGGATCGGAACACAGAATCAGCCAGAGGAGATGGCCGGGGATGCTGCAGGGGACACATCGCGGGAGCTAAGGACAAGGTGAGCGCTGCAGGGACTCCCTGAGCAATGCCACATGGTAACCCCGAGTTACACTCGGGGTTACCTCTTGTGGTACTGGAAATTTTACCCTGAGCTACACTTGGGAATACCGCCAGGGAGGTTAAATATGTGAGTTTTTCAGCCTTGTTTAGCATTTTTGTATTAGTGTTTAGCTGCATTTTCATTTTTTAGAGTTTTTTTTTTTTACCCCCCCAAATTTTTTTTTTTGGTCAAAAAAAGTTCAAAAACTCTGGTTTGCCGTGATTTTCCACGTTTTTCAGCAATATAATGTTTCTCCAGCTAAAAACCTCTCTAGACACCCACTAGTCCTGGGTTTTTTTCCAGCCAAAAAACGCCCCTGCCAAAAAACATTGATTACAGTCTGTGTGTGCATGGACACATAGGATAACATGCTGGGGAGTTTACTGGCTGTAGAAAAAAATGTCAAAAGCCAAAAACAGCCGCTGTAAAAACGTCTAATGTGAATGAGGACGAAGTCATAACTCCTGATTTGCATATCCGATAATTAAAGTATAACTAAAAGGCAAAACTTTTTTTTTTTTGTTTGGGATAAAGTGGAGATGGATTAGATCACCTGTCAGGTTTTTATTGCTACCTATGGCCCTGTTAGGAAGATGAACCCTCTCTGTTTGTCCTGTTTACCGTTATGATCGAAAGTGAAAGTAAAAGAAAATTCAAAATTTTTAGTTTTCTCCAGAAAAGTAATAGAGGGGTAAGCTTCTAATGAGTACACTAGTTTTGGTGACCTGGGGGTCCCCAATGGATTCCCTTAATTTGCAGGGATTTTCTTTTACTTCCTGTTTTGGATAAGGGACAGGTTGTGAAGGCAAATCTCCCAAACAGGACATAGATGGCAAAAAAACTGGCAGAGATTATAACCCTCCCTTACTCTATCCAAAATTAAAAAAAACAATGTTCCATTGTGACAAACAGTGATCAGACCGGCTCTTTGTTGCAAAAGAGACATGCAATGGCTCATCTGTAATAAGATACACCTAGCTGCCTGCTCGCTGTCTTATCCTGCATGTAAACTGAGCTGCTCAGGCACAGCTGAGCTTACACTGCTGGCAGATTCTGGGTGCCTGAATGACTGATTCCTGCACATGACATCAACCCGCGCCAGCCAATGAAGATGGCTGAAGACTGGCACACAGCAGAAGGCGCTGGCGAAAAATGAGACCATTGAAGCAAAGGTAAGTATAGGTCCAGTTTAAACTGACCCCATTGGATCAGCATGACAACCAAGAAATTAGCATTTTCAGCAATGACAGCCTTCATATTTCATCAGCACAGATTTCCTTTAAAGGATAAAGTTTACTTTAAAAATGTGGGTTTTTTTTGCCACTCATCCCCTCTCGCCCTTCAAATCACTTATACGCAATACTACAGACCTCAAAGCAGTCGGTAACCTTATTTGCCTGTTTTAGGGAAATAGGTTCTCTTTTGGGGCCTATAGAAAAAAAGCCATATATGCAAATACCATTGCCATAGCCAGCCAGCTCAAAATGATGACTGCAGAGCTGCCAGAGTTGGCATAGGCTACAGAAAGGTGAATCTGGTTATTTACACATAAAGCAATAAAGAAAACCATAGAAGAGATTTATATTATGAACAATTAAGTATATACCCAAAAAAAAATGTCAGCATTTAAGAGTTTCATTTGGAAACAGGTTGCACAGTTAGTATAAGTCTACATGTCCAGTGTCATAATATGGATCATTTGACTAAGTCTCCAAGTACAGAGGTCCTGTTGCTGTTTTCTAGGCTGCTGTGGGAGGCAGAGACACTTTGCCGTTGCTACAAGAGAATGTTCCGTTCTTGTTTGCAAACCTATATAATAGTTGTCTTTATGACTCATTTTGGGTATTTCATTAGAGGAGCAGATAGATAAACATACAGTGCATACATATAAAAATGTATGTAAATGGTATCCAATTATTTGTCACAAGTTGTAGACAACTTTTGATTTTTGCAAGTGATACTGACATTTCAGCTCTGCTAAACAGGATAAATGTAATTAAATTTGTCTGAAAAAGACTACAGCATTATGTCACTGTAGAAGCAGAATGTTCCTAACAACTATTGCTGCATGTTAATAATATACCACTTGGAGCAATTCCCAGAAAAATAAAAACACTATACAGAGATGTAATAACAATGAAAATAATAGACACAGATTTTCATAACATCAATTTTACTTTGCTGTTGTGATTTCCTATTTCATTTTTGTTTTTTTTTCTCTTTCACATGGGAATGTTGCTGGACAGAAGAATGACAAAACAAATATAATTTAAAAGCAGTAATAAGTCACTAAGTTCAGTTGCTGGTAGCTGGGAGTATTCCCTGCAAAGGTTTTTTGGAGGAAAAAAAAAATCAAGACAAAGATGATTTACAAATCTATGTTATCAAAATTTGCAAGTCCTGCTCTGTGTGCTTTCACTGCATAGTTTCCCTTTTAGGTGCACATTATAAGATGATTTCCCTGTTTAAAGTGTAACTTTACCAATAACAACTTACTAAACAATAATTATTACATCGAGTTTATATAGCGCCAAAGGGTTTGCTGATCTTTAGCAAGGAACATACATTCCACATTATCAATTATGCTACCAAAACTAGTGTGTGCTGTAAATTGCCTTGAGCATTGTTCCTCCTCCTTGCTGGAGGCTGCCATTTTCCTAAAGCCCAGAGCAGCAGTAAATCTGCAGGCTGTCAGCAGACTGGCCTCTACATTTTTGACACAGAGCACTAAATAGCAACTTAGCATGTGCAGAGCAGGGTGAGACAGTGTATTACTGGATTTTAAACAGAATAGGCACTTATTTTTAATGTTTTAATGCTATACTTGCAAAAGGGATCAGCCTGAAGTGACCTAGCAGGACCTCATTTTCTGACTAAAGTTTCATTTTAAGATTAGAGGTGACTGCTTTGATATATTCTAAACGAGCTCGGTAGGTCGAATGATGCAAGTGCTTGGCATAAGATCTTCTGGTTGGTGGATCTCTGCAATGGTTTACCTAACATATGTCTTTATCTCCTGCACCCTAGACCCTTGGGTGGAGTTTTCCTTTAAATATTAGTAAGGTGGTGCTATCTGGCCTGGTGAAAGCAAAGAGGCAGTGAGTTCGCAAACAAGCCACTTACAACTGCAGCTAACAAAAGTTCATTCATTTGCATCCACACCAGAGCTGGTATTAGTAGTGCACATGAATGTATGTGCACTGTGGCTTTCTGATGTTTAAAACAGTCATATATTGAAGAGTATTGAATGTTAGTCACAGTTCTAATTATAAGCCTTGCCTCCATGATGGGACAGCCCTGCAAAAAACACAAAGTATAGTTAACAATATTATTAATCATCAAAGTGTATGTGATTTAATTGTATGTCACCGTCTAAACATTTCCAGTTATACCACAGCTTTAACTATCACTATTTACTCAAAATTAAGTTGTCATCAAGGCAGCCTGGTAAGGTAAGTGATGAGAACTTCTGCTTTGCAGTGCTAGGATTTCATTCACACCAGAATCATAATCTGCAAGGACCTGGAATGTTCTCTACATTGGCCGTCTGCATTTCATCCAAGTATTGTCTTTCTTCCTACTAATACTGGTAGAATAATGCAGCTTTAACCATGATCCAGTTGAATGTGACTGACTACTACTGGATATATCATGACATGGATAAGTGAGAACCTTCACAGACATACAGGAGATGGCAACTTTACTTACTTACAGACCTACTGGACATTGCCAATCCCCCCATTTCCCACAGCCATCCCAGAGAAATGCTTAAACATGAACTCCAGGAAGATATAAAAGGCATAAATTAGAGGAGCTCTGAAGATGAAAAAAAGTTTAATGCATTTCTTTTAAATGCAACCAGTGAAAATCACCTGAATTTTACTTGATATCAGCCTCTTGCATACCCAGTGAAGCAGACTGGAAGAGGCACTAGGCGCCAATTAGGGTTGCTACATACAAATGCACTAACAAGGTATGGATAGGAGTGAGCAGAACGATGACCTCATCAGTCCCCTGCTACACTTTCAAAGTTCGGTCAGAAGGCTGGTGTGAAAACTACATTGTTATTTCTTAATGGTAACAAAGCAGTGTTATCCTGTTGGTTGTGTGGTGTGGCAGGGCTGTAAAACTCTCAGGACTGGATGAACAAAAATATAAATAATTTGGCAAGCAAACAGCTCCCTTACTATGTATTTCATCTGTGTATTTAGCCAGTTTAGCTTTAATGGTAGAGAAAGGGCGATAATCTTAACTGTGAAATGAATATTGCTAAACTAAATATACATACATTAAACACACTCATGAAAACCATGAGTCTGTTTATTGAATTGTAGAAAGGAAAACTGGCAAGTGTAACCATGTATGCAGTGGTCTATTGAATAAATTAACTGAAGAATGCTATGCGATTTTGGCCTAAAGACATGGAGCATAGGATATATATAGTGAATTCATAAATTGTGAATATGTGAAAGCATGACTAATACTCTATCTTGCTAGATCAGCAGTGGAAGGATTTGTGAATGGTGCTTTGTTGCTGGGAGGTGCAGTGCAGCAATACTAGAATGTACTTTTCATTAACTGCCTATGAAATTAGATTTATTCATGGGTGGGACTGAGGGTATCCTAAAGAAACATCTACTCTATGCATGACATCATTGCTTCAGACTGTGAACTACTATGGGTTGTTACATAGTCGCTTTGTTCATGCCGTATGAAACAGAAATGTAGGGCCTGGGAAAATAGTTAGACTACATTATATGGATTTTTGGTCACAAAACACAGAGCATGTTTTAGGTAGGCCATGAGATGGCTATTGCTCACATACATTAACTGTTGCATTTGCGGTTCACCTTTAGAAATACTTTGTTATGGCCTAACGCACATGTATCAAATACGAGGTTTGCATGCCGAATCTGGCCAGCCAGATCATTTCATGTGGCGATGGCACCTCTCCTAAAGCTGTGGCACCCCCTTGCCTGCACTCCCACCTTGTCTCAGCAGCAAAGCGGAGGACAGAGCTCTTCTGCCAGATCCTGCGCTTCACCATGCAGCCAGGGAGAGGCCTGTCTCAGTAATGATCAAATAATGAGGCAATTATTTAATGAGACAAAGAGTAGATACATTTATATAGTCTTACAGATACAACCAGCCCTTTGAGGGCAAACCATATTGCTGATGCATCCCACAATGAAAATGAGTTTGACACCCGTGGCCTAACATGTCAACTTTTATGTATTATTAAATATCTATATAATTACCGATGAGGAATGTGCAAGAGTGGAGTTGTTCCTGTCGGCCCTGTATTTTTGAAGCGCTCTTCCCATCCTTTCGTAAGCTTACACAGCCTAGAAGGATCTCTATCAACATGAACTTGTACCTATGAGAAAAATAGTTTTATAATGTGGAAAAAAAGAAAACCTGGAAAGCCGTTTTAAATCTCAGCTGTGCCTCTCAGTTGATAACAAATACTTAACCTATTTTAGTCTACGTAAAATTCCGTATTAATGAGCTGCCGGATAAAAGTGCAGGATCATAAACTGGCTAAACACAATTACAAATCCTTTGGCAGTGTAAAACAGTTCCAAGTTAAGCATTTCAACTGACTATTTAGCTGTTTGCCTGGAGTTCAGCTTTAACTTTATGTTGCGTTACCTTCTCTTTTAATTTTGCCAGTCTTCTCTCTTTTTCTTTCACTTCCTCTTCTTTAGTTCTTTTTTCTTGCACCTTTTCCACAATTTTCCTCTGATCCTGGAACATGATTGCATAACAGTCATTAGAATTCTGAAAAAAATCTGTATACACTGTGCGGTGGAAGAAATACAGATGTACCTTTCCTTATTACAAACTAAAATATCCCACAGCAAGAGAGGAGATTAGTCTGAGAATGCCATCTAAAATTAAAGGATGTAGGGCGTATAAAATAAGGAAGAATTAAAAACCTTGTTGGTTTATTATTTACTGTCAGTGTCCCATTGTAGAGATTTCCCTTCACTTTCTGTGCAGGTGATGCAAGAGGAAGTGAGATAAAATTTCAATAAAACGGGTGTGGGGGATTTTGCACTCTGGGCTGCATCATCTTCTCTTGTTTATTAAGTAGCCTGTGATGAGCCATTCGATGATCTGCTACACAGGTGTTCGCATACATGGTATAAGCACTAGTAAGGGAACACTTCGCATTTTCTCAGTGAATGCAAAGCATTCTCTGATTGGATGTAGTGAAGATGAGAGGCAGTGGCGTCATGATCCCCACCTCATCCAATCAGATGACACTTTGCATTCATTGAAAAAATTGTAAAGTGAGCAACCTCCTGTGTTCAGCAAGTACAGAGTAGCTGCTCAGCATGGGACCCAAAAGCAAGCAGAAATCACTGTAGTAGTGGCTCCTACTGCAACGATGTCCACAGGTATGGCACACAAATACATACATTGGTCCAAGCTGGACAAATGTAACTATATAAAAAATAGCATATCTGCAATTCAGCTTTAAACTGCTATCAAAAGCATGCTACATTTGTCCATCCAAGCAGGTTCTAAGCCAGTTGTCACCAAAACAAGTGTCCCATTGCAGGATTTGCCCTCAGCTCTTGTCCTGGTGACAACTGTAAAAGTTTGATTTTACACAATTTTCTGTCTTGGTGACAATGGACACAGGACAAATAGAGAGGGTGAATCTACCTAATGCGGACACAGACAGCAATAAAACCTGTACAGGAGTTCTAATCAATCCCTACTCTAGCAATAACAAAAACAAAAATTGGCTTTATGTACACTCCAAACAAACATTACCTGAACCCAGTGGGTGGGTGTAATTATGTTGCAGATTGTTCTTCATCTAACAATATTATCCAGAATGTTCAATAGTAGAAATAAACATTACATCTGTATTGCCTAGTTGAAAATCTCTATCTATAGTCTGTGTCCTGTACCAAATTTACAAAAAACACACAGGCTATATCAACGCAATGCAATTTAGAATTCAGACAGTCCTTGCCCGTTTGATTTGGTTTATGTATTCAAACTCAATTGTATTAAAATTTCACTGTAGTTTCAGTGTATCTCATCTCAACGGTTGCTAATCCAAATAAACAAACACAAACAATGATAAATAAAAATAGGGCATTATGTTTAAAAGCCCATGAAACTGCAAAAGTATCTAAAACCACAATGGCAATGTGGCCGAAAGAGTTGACTAATTCTAAATCTTCCACTCTGATACGTGTTTCCATAGAGGTGTGTTCTAATGCAGGGCTTGAAATTTCCACTCGGCTGCTTGCATTTGGCTAGTGAAAATAACATGGGGGCGAGTGTGTCCCAGGCACCGCATCGGAGCGTGGGGGGTGGGTGCTACCAGTAGCAACAACCTGCCCCGAGCACTGTGTTGAGGGGGAGTGCACTGCTGTTGCCGCTCCTCAGTGACTGGAGTGATCGCAGTTTCACTCCTGTCACAGGGAGAAGCTGCTGACACTTGCTGGAGGGAGGACTAGGCTTTCTCCTCCTTCCTGCCTGCAGGGGGCAATAGACAGCCGGCACTAAGGAGTGAAGGCAGAGTGTCCTTCCTCTCTCCCCTTGTCATGTGACTTATCACAGGACCGAAGGAGGGAAAGAAGGAAAAGCTGCATTCATGAGAAGATCTGAGAGTACAAGGGGGAAGGGTGAGGTTACAATTATGGGGAGGGGCTCTGATGGGAACACCTTATATAAAAGGGGGACTCTGATGGGAACGGCTTATATAAAGGGGGACTCTGATGGGAACGGCTTATATAAAGGGGGACTCTGATGGGAACGGCTTATATAAAGGGGGACTCTGATGGGAACGGCTTATATAAAGGGGGACTCTGATGGGAACGGCTTATATAAAGGGGGACTCTGATGGGAACGGCTTATATAAAGGGGGGGGGAACGGACTCTGATGGGAACGGCTTATATAAAGGGGGACTCTGATGGGAACGGCTTATATAAAGGGGGACTCTGATGGGAACGGCTTATATAAAGGGGGACTCTGATGGGAACGGCTTATATAAAGGGGGACTCTGATGGGAACGGCTTATATAAAGGGGGACTCTGATGGGAACGGCTTATATAAAGGGGGACTCTGATGGGGCTTATAAAAGGGGGACTCTGATATATAAAGGGGGACTCTGATGGGAACGGCTTATATAAAGGGGGACTCTGATGGGAACGGCTTATATAAAGGGGGACTCTGATGGGAACGGCTTATATAAAGGGGGACTCTGATGGGAACGGCTTATATAAAGGGGGACTCTGATGGGAACGGCTTATATAAAGGGGGACTCTGATGGGAACGGCTTATATAAAGGGGGACTCTGATGGGAATATATAAAGGGGGGGGGACTCTGATGGGAACGGCTTATATAAAGGGGGACTCTGATGGGAACGGCTTATATAAAGGGGGACTCTGATGGGAACGGCTTATATAAAGGGGGACTCTGATGGGAACGGCTTATATAAAGGGGGACTCTGATGGGAACGGCTTATATAAAGGGGGACTCTGATGGGAACGGCTTATATAAAGGGGGACTCTGATGGGAACGGCTTATATAAAGGGGGACTCTGATGGGAACGGCTTATATAAAGGGGGACTCTGATGGGAAACGGCTTATATAAAGGGGGACTCTGATGGGAACGGCTTATATAAAGGGGGACTCTGATGGGAACGGCTTATATAAAGGGGGACTCTGATGGGAACGGCTTATATAAAGGGGGACTCTGATGGGGGAACGGCTTATATAAAGGGGGACTCTGATGGGAACGGCTTATATAAAGGGGGGGGACTCTGATGGGAACGGCTTATATAAAGGGGGACTCTGATGGGAACGGCTTATATAAAGGGGGACTCTGATGGGAACGGCTTATATAAAGGGGGACTCTGATGGGAACGGCTTATATAAAGGGGGACTCTGATGGGAACGGCTTATATAAAGGGGGACTCTGATGGGAACGGCTTATATAAAGGGGGACTCTGATGGGAACGGCTTATATAAAGGGGGACTCTGATGGGAACGGCTTATATAAAGGGGGACTCTGGACTCTTATATAAAGGGGGACTCTGATGGGAACGGCTTATATAAAGGGGGACTCTGATGGGAACGGCTTATATAAAGGGGGACTCTGATGGGAACGGCTTATATAAAGGGGGACTCTGATGGGAACGGCTTATATAAAGGGGGACTCTGATGGGAACACGGCTATATAAAGGGGGACTCTGATGGGAACACCTTATATAAAGGGGGACTCTGATGGGAACAGCTTAAATAAAGGGGGACTCTGATGGGAACAGCTTATATAAAGGGGGACTCTGATGGGGAACGCCTGAGGGGACTCTGATGGGAGCAGCTTATATAAAGGGGGACTCTGATGGGAACGCCTGATATATAAAGGGGGACTCTGATGGGAACGCCTGATGTAAAGGGGGACTCTGATGGGAACGCCTGAGGTAAAGGGGGACTCTGATGGGAACGCCTGAGGTAAATGGGGACTCTGATGGGAACGCCTGAGGTAAATGGGACTCTGATGGGGACGCCTGAGGTAAAGGGGGACTCTGATGGGACGCCTGAGGTAAAGGGGGACTCTGATGGGGAACGCCTGATGTAAAGGGGGACTCTGATGGGGACGCCTGATGTAAAGGGGGACTCTGATGGGGACGCCTGATGTAAAGGGGGACTCTGATGGGGACGCCTGATGTAAAGGGGGACTCTGATGGGGACGCCTGATGTAAAGGGGGACTCTGATGGGGACGCCTGATGTGTAAAGGGGGGACTCTGATGGGGACGACGCCTGATGTAAAGGGGGACTCTGATGGGGACGCCTGATGTAAAGGGGGACTCTGATGGGGACGCCTGATGTAAAGGGGGACTCTGATGGGGGACGCCTGATGTAAAGGGGGACTCTGATGGGGACGCCTGATGTAAAGGGGGACTCTGATGGGGACGCCTGATGTAAAGGGGGACTCTGATGGGGACGCCTGATGTAAAGGGGGACTCTGATGGGGACGCCTGATGTAAAGGGGGACTCTGATGGGGACGCCTGATGTAAAGGGGGACTCTGATGGGGACGCCTGATGTAAAGGGGGACTCTGATGGGGACGCCTGATGTAAAGGGGGACTCTGATGGGGACGCCTGATGTAAAGGGGGACTCTGATGGGGACGCCTGATGTAAAGGGGGACTCTGATGGGAACGCCTGATGTAAAGGGGGACTCTGATGGGGACGCCTGATGTAAAGGGGGACTCTGATGGGGACGCCTGATGTAAAGGGGGACCTGATGGGGACGCCTGATGTAAAGGGGGACTCTGATGGGGACGCCTGATGTAAAGGGGGACTCTGATGGGGACGCCTGATGTAAAGGGGGACTCTGATGGGGACGCCTGATGTAAAGGGGGACTCTGATGGGGACGCCTGATGTAAAGGGGGACTCTGATGTAAAGGGGGACTCTGATGGGACGCCTGATGTAAAGGGGATGGGGACCTGTAAAGGGGGACTCTGGGGACGCCTGATGTAAAGGGGGACTCTGATGGGGACGCCTGATGTAAAGGGGGGACTCTGATGGGGACACTTATTTTCATTTTATGTTTACATTGTTTTATGTTAACCACTTGCCCTCTAGACTCTATTGTTGTTATGTTTAAATTTACATAATAAAGTTATGTTATAATTGCTGTTTTTTATATATTTGGACTCTTTATTCTAAAGAAAAATTTAATTTCATAAGCTTTAAGGGGCATGGTAGGGGTCAGGGCTGGGGACGGGGTTGGGGGATGGGCCTGGGGTGGGGTTGGACTAGGTCTAGGCTTGAAATTTTAAGCCCTGTTCTAATGAACTAGTTTCCAAAAGGAATACCCCTTTAATTAATGATATAATTCATAATTCTACTGTAAAATATCTTTTGGTACTCTGTAAGTAAAGAAGTTACCCTGTCCTGAAATCTACAGATCTCCATTGTAGCCAGCTTTCGCTTCTCTTCCATTTCTGCTTCTTCCCTCATCTCTCTTTCCACCTTCAGAAAACTCTTCTTGCTCCTTCTTGATTCTTACATGTTCTTCCACTAGGAGTTTGACTTCCAGCTGGCGCTGGCGCTCCTTTCTCTGTTTCCTCTGCTGCTCTTCCTCTTCTTTTAGCTCTGTCTCAAGCTTTGCAGCAATCTCTATTTCTTTCTGCCTCTTCCAGGCCTCTATTTCCTGCTGTCGTTTCCTTCTTTCTTCTTCTAACCTCTGCTTCTGAGCTTCTTCCTTTTGTTGCTTATCAAATTCTGTTATTTCTTTGGTCTTCTCTTGAATTTTTGACATTTCTTGTTTTTCTTTCTGTTTCCTAGATTTCCACTTGTGAATAGCCTACCAGTAAAAAAAAACACAAAAAAAAAAATAATCAAAGTTTAGTAAACAAACCACCAAATTTTAGTGTTTTAAGCCTTTTGAGTATAAGATAAGATTGGCTCAAGTAAAGACATGAAATAAGCATCTGAACTTTCAGGATGCACAGATACGCTGTAAAATCTCAATTTTACATTTCCAAATTGCCCATAGGAAGCCGCCTGTGAGAGCAGTGAGGGAAAAGAGCTTCTGCAAACATGGACAATGCTGGATCAAGATCAGACTTAGAAATGAATATGGGAAGGCTGGGGGGTGTGTTCCTATTTAAAGTTTCATAACCTTAATGCAGAGCATGCATTAAAGTGTTACTAAATCCACAACAGTAAAATCAGTATATGCAGTAAAGCATGCTTTGTTATACTCACTGTGGAACCTAAGTTAATCCTCTGCATTGTGTAAAAAGACTGTTTGTTCCCGTCTCCACTGGTCCTCCCCTTCTTTTACTGTCCCCAAACCATCTGCTGATAGTACAGAGCCCTAGGAGGCACTTTGCACATGCTCAGTTTAGGGTTTATAGCTAGAGAGTTTTATTTTTTATTTTGGAAGGGTGCATGTGATTGGCACAGGGCCAAACAGTACTGTCCAGACAGAGGGTCAGGGGTCATGTAGCCTCATAGGACAGTAAGAGGAGAATGAAAACTTCTCCTACAAGCTTTAACCAGTGCTCGCCTGGACACTGATAGAAGACACAAGACAAGACTGCTATATACTGCTGATGGTCATAGTCATCTCATCCCCCCAGACGGCCTCCTGTCTGCTGCAGAAATTTTTCAAAAGCCACCACTTCTTCTGGGAGTCGGCTGGAGAGAATGCCATCAGGCAGGGCTATTCCGGAAGGAGCCTTAAAGGATCTTTCAGGTGGATTAATGGATGATGCCTCTATTTTTTTCTCCAGGGCCATGAGCTCAATGAAGGTTGTCTTTTCTTCCTTTAATAGGTCTTCATAACTAAAGCCAGACAAAATAATTACAAGACAAGACTGCTATATACTGCTGATGAGAAAGTATTTAGCAGTTTATATTTACTTTATTTTACATTTAAAGTAATTGCAGTTCCGTGTTCTGTGTCCTGTGGGAGACCAGATATAGTGAATGCAGGGTCCTGGGTTTAGTAATACTTTAAGGTAAATAAAACCATTTACCTGTAGCACCCTCCTAGTCAATTAGGGGGAGGTAGACTCCAATTACTGAGGAGGGCTGAGTAGCAGCCTGGGTGTGATAGCTACCAGGGGTAAAACTCTGGTCAGAGCTGAGAGGCTCTGCAGACCACCCCACTGGAATTTCCCCTTGCTCTAGAACTTTGGAAAAAGGTCTAGAAGCAGTGGGTGGATCTGAGGAGTGCCTGATCTGCACTTTTGAGGGATCCTGGCCAATCCCCAACAGGAGACAAGGCAAGGGGCCAGGACAACTCTTAAAAGTGAGAGAGCCTGTTCAGCAGCAGGAGAGTTCGGGTTGTTGGAGATGAAGTGAGGTTGGAGAGAGGAGTCTGGCAGGGGGCCCGGATGGAGCAGGTCACCTATAGGCAGAGGAGCTTGGAAGAAGGAAACCGCAGACCTTCACGGCCCCCAGAGCGAGGACCACCTGTGTAGCAGGGAAGGCGTGGCCCAGCTAGAAGGCCTGGTAGCAGCCACCAGCCACACAGTAGAAGGACTAAGTGAGAAAACCTGCACCCTCTAGACAAGATAGGGGAAGGAGGCACTCTAGTGGGAAGCTGGATTAGCCTGCCACTCAGGACTGTTTCACTAAATCTGTGGCAGACACCGGATCCCCTGTTTAGGGATTCCTCCAGACAGCTGGGTAAAGAAGAGGAGTTATCTGTTGTATGCGTTAGTACTACAGGAGATGCTGGCTAGCTCTCCAGAGGAGACTGTTTTGCTGTGGAGACTTGCAAATAGTTACAGGGAGTTGTCCTCAGTTTCCCCTTACCCTATCCAAGTTGAAATTCCCCTAATAAAATAGAAAAAAGAAAACAAACTCAAAGACTGGTTAATAACTCTTGGATTCAAGTCTGTGAAAAATACATGTTGCCTGGCTGTTCAGGACTATAGGGGAACCCAAATACTCAGCAACTCTTAAGGGGGTAGTGCTACATAAATTTACAGCCACTTTAATCCTCAAATTCAGTTTATCCTAACACATAAACATGCTAAGCTAACACACACTGTACAAAGATATACAGCAACAGCATTTTATAACAAAAAAAAAAAAATTAAATGTTTCTCACTTCCTTTTTCTTTTCTTCTAAAGAGAGAAGCTCCTGATACCAGGCCTCGTGTTGCTGAATGTCCTCCCATGTCCTGCTAGGTAAGTATGCCAGGGCCTCTTCCAAGTAACCCGGCTTGCCCTTGTGTTTGGTCCACACTTTCAGGAAGCTCTGATGGTCATAGTCATCCCATCCTCCCAGACGGCCTCCTGTCTGCTGCAGAAATTTTTCAAAAGCCACCACTTCTTCTGGGAGCCGGCTGGAGAGAATGCCATCAGGCAGGGCTATTCCGGAAGGAGCCTTAAAGGATCTTTCAGGTGGATTAATGGATGATGCCTCTATTTTTTTCTCCAGGGCCATGAGCTCAATGAAGGTTGTCTTTTCTTCCTTTAATAGGTCTTCATAACTAAAGCCAGAAAAAATAATTACATTTTGCTTACGTAAAATCATTCTTACATCCACTTAGGTAGGTACACATACAAAGATACAATATATCTGAAATGTTTATCACTAGTAAATTGGTCTGTGAACCACCCATCAATGTAATCTTACCGGGCGTTTAAACTAAGAGCTTGTTCACACCAGCGTGCTGCAGTAATGTAGCATTGCACATGGCAGTGCTTTGGTGTGACATTCATTTTGAATAGTTTGCACAATGTTTGCTGTGAACTGCAAACAATGCAGCATGCACAGCATTTTGAGTGTGTTGAGTTGCTTTACAGCTCATTCATTTTTAATAGGAAGCCTAATACAGTGTGTCTCAATGCATGAAAACAAGTGAGTTTCAGTGCATTCTTGTGAATACCAGCCCCAAGGTAATATAACAATTCTGATATAAAATCTCCCTCAGGACTTAGAAGGTCTGAACCTGTCCGTGTGGCACAAAGCTACCATGTGTTCAGGTTAGAAAAACAAAAATAAAGATAGTGGATATGCGGGGGAAAATATACACTTTAAGTACTATACTGTAACACAGAGAACGCGAAGCTGACTGGGAAAGGTTGTGATCTCCAACCATTATGTATAGCATACAAAATCACCAATCCAGAGCAAGCATGGCCATTGAAGTAGCGTGGTCACAAACCCAAAGCTTACACTGGAAACACTGTACATGTGGTCCGAGCCTGGTGTATGCCGGTCATTATCCTTTTATAACTATAAGATATCTATAATAACTATTTTAGAAATACAGTGGTGATGAGTTGATGTTTCAGCATAAAAATAGTTTCTCCTCCTTTTCAACATGCGTTACTTCTTCTTTTGTGTCACTAATAATAGATGAGGAGGCTTACTGTTTTCTATTACTGATGTGTAGTAATGCAGTACATACATTTGTAGTTACAAAATGTATTCACCGGAATACTGACAGCTGGTGCAACCACTGCAACGCACCAGAACACTCAGATGGTGTGTATTGTGGTGCGCTGACTTGGGGCATTGAGCTGCAAAATTAATGCCACCACAATGCACTGCACATGCAATGCATTGAAAAGTGTATTTTGCTGCCTGTCATCGCAACACACAGGTCTGTATAAAGCAATAAAAACCAAAAAAAAATAACCTTGTAGTACCTCAAACAAAAACAAAAAAACACAATCTGAATCCCTGTACAAGATGACTTGTAATAGCTTACATCATTAGTTGATCTTCTTTAAAGGCACTGATAGCATTTTCTACTTCTTCCATCATTTCTCTAAGTTTCTCTACAACTATAAAGGAAAAGCAACATAATAAGTCCCGTAGTTACATTACACAAATATGTAGAGTATTAATATAATGTGAAACTCATACAAATGAGCGCAGAGAAGCCACTCCAGGTGGAAGCATGTGAACAGTTGATCATGAGCTCACCACTGCTGCCTTGTTAATCATTTGCATGATGAAGAGAACTGAAAAGAATAGGTGCTGTGGAAAATGCTCTCAGTCAAGCACCTTAATGAAGGTGCATCTTTATTAAGTGAGACAAAGTAGCAAATATAATAAATTGGGCCAGCCTGAAGTGAACAGTGTGACTCCAATGGATGGCCCGTCCACTCTGAAGGGAGCTGAGATCGGAGAATGCTCCTGACGGCTACGAATCACATGGCGTCAGCGTACTGGCATCCCGGGTGGCATCATCGCGGCAAGCGAAGGGTGGAAGGCAGTATCCAGCATCAGCTTCAGCTGGGAGCGTATTCAGGGTTACTAAGACGACATGTTTCACGCAGTTGCACTTTGTCAAGTCTCTGCTAACCCTGGCCAGCGGCCAACTACTTTCTATATTCATTGTTATGGCTACATTGACATATATGGTTTTCACTCCTGTAGCTGTTACTGTTAAAAGCTGTTATGGTGAAAATGTGAAAGTGTCCTACTATACAATTTATAGCTCCTGAATGCACCTTTTCCTTTGTTTTGATAAAAACTTTTCATGATTAAAAAAAGGGGTAGTAAAAAAGAAAAAAACTGCAGCTGCATCTAATGTCATAATGTGCTAGTATGCATCTGTCACATTATCTCAGACATACCTAAAAAAACGGACCCCTCCAGCGACGGGCTGTCACCACTAAAAGGGATTCTGGATTTGCAGGATCCAGTCATTTGGATGATCAAGTTGTGATGACATCGCGTGCACGGGAGTCATGGCTACGACACAGCTCTCTCAATGGATGGCAGAGCGCATTGCATCAGTGACGTCATTGGCTGCTACATATGTAAATATCTAAACGGTGCACATTCAGGAGATATTCACTGTACCTACAGGTAAATATTATAGGCCTGTAGGTACAAGATAAAAAACAGAGTCTACTACTACTTTTAAAGTGGATGTAAACGTAAATTTTTCTCTTTCTTTCTTTAAAAAACAAATTGCACAGAGTGGCCCTGAACCACCTCCTCCTCCATTGATACAGGCAGCAGGACACAGCCCCACCTCCAGCTGCCTCATCATTGGCTTTGATTGATAGCAGTGGGAGACAATGGCTCCCAGTGCCCCAGCAAAGCCTGAGAGACCCAGAACTAAAGTGGAAACAAGAGCTGCAGATGTGCACAGCACTGGACTGAATGAGGTCTCAGGTAAGTAAAAGGGGGGGGTGAGGGGGATACTAATACCTAAACATTTTTTACCTTAAGGTGTAACTAAAGGCAAAACTTTTTTCTTTTGTTTTGGATAGAGTGCAGAGGGATTACCGTTATCATTGAAAGTGAAAGTAAAAGAAAATCCCAAATTGTGGGTTTTCCCCAGAAATGTAATAGAGCGGAAATCCTCAAATGGGAACACTAGTTCTGGTGAGCTGGGGGTCCCCAAGGGATTCCCTTAATTTTCAGGAATTTCCACTCACTTCCTGTTTGACTATGGGACAGGAAGTGAAGGGAAATCTCCGCAATGGGACACAGAAGGCGAAAAAAAAATTTAACAGGGGTTATGACCCTCCCTTGCTCTATCCACAAATGAAAAAAAATAAAAAAAAATAGATTTGTCTTTAGCTCTATTTTAATGCAAGGAATGCATTAATGTACAAAATGGTTAGGCTTTATAACCACTTAAATTAGGTTGTAGGCTCTTTGGGATAACACTATCTGGTATACTAATCAGACCAAAGAAGGAGCAAATAAGAGTTTACAAACACTTTATTTTTCAATAATTTTTATTGAAAGGTTTCAAAAAAAATTTTTTAACAGAAAGAAACATTTGGTTCAGTTTAAATTGTGTGCATATAATATGACTTTATTAGAATGTTACCCCACCTTTTGGCTGGGGTCGGAACTAGAGTTGCGGCATAAGCATCAGAGGTATGCTTGGGGTGGACTGAACCGTGATGAGGTGTAGTAGGTAGTAAGGGGGATTAAACAGGGGGGGGAGAATAATGGGGGTGGGGGGGATAGGTTGTGTAAAGATGGGGGAGGTGTACCAGTCTGACGTGGATAGGTTGAACGATTGTTTGTACATTATCAGGGTTTTACGGAGCAGTTAGGATTTTGTAACCAGTTAGACCGTAAAGAATTAAACTTATGTTGGGTGGAGTTATTAGTGGCCAGTCTGTTTTCCATTTCGCATTGGAAGTTAAGATCTGAGATTAGAGTTTGAAAGGAAGGGGCCTGTGGTGGTATTCCAGAGTCGGGTTATGTTTAGTTTAGCTGCAAAAAGGATGTGGACCATAATGGTACGGGAGGTATATGGGAATTTGTTAATCCCGATATGTAAGAGTGCAAGTGCCGGATTGGAGGTTATCATTATTTTGGAAATTTCGGCTATTAGTTGGAATACACTATTCCAAAAGGATTTAATAGATTTGCAAGACCAAAGTATGTAAAGAGTGGAGCCTACGTCCCCTGCATTGTCTCCAACAGGAAGGGGAATGTTTTGGGTAGAAAATGGCAAGTCTGGCAGGGGTTAGGTACCATTGATGAAGTATTTTTAAGTAGGATTCCCAATATGAGCTGCAGTGAGAGGATTTGTAAGTGCAGATAAATGCGGTAGTCCATGAGTGGGTTGGGATGGTTTCCGCTAGGGTTTTTTTCCCAATTGGATAAAGAGGTAGATTTTAAGATAAATTGTAGGTCCGTTAAATATTTGTAGAAGGTAGAGATGCCTTTACTTGGGTAATGCGGTTTGGAGAAATAAGTGTAGGCCGTAGCCGGGATTATTATGATCTGGGGTATGTTGTACGTTTGGATGCAGTGGATGATTCATAGGTAGGTGAAATATTCCGCGGCAGGGAGGTTAAATTTGGTGTGAAGATACTGAAATGAGTGTATGCTGTTATTTTTGTAAAGATCTGCTATGTGATGTATGTTTTGTTTTTCCCACTGGGTTAAATCTAAGGAGGGCGTAATGGAGTGTAGTATGTTGAGTGGGGTATGGAGTTGTTTGGAGTCTGCGTAATCTGTGGATAAAAGATCTTTCCAAGCTTGAAGGGTGGCTTGGATACATGGGTGCTTTAAGTGATATGTCGTTTGTGAGAATATTGTGGTTAAGAGTAGATGTTGTGATTTAAGTGGAAGGAAGGGTGAGGTTTCCATTGTGGACCAGGATTTTTCTCTGGTTGGGTGCCACCAAAAATATATTTGGTCCAGGAGAGTGGCATTATAGTAAGATTTGAGGTGTGGAAGGCTAGCGCCTCCTTTGGAGGGTGGTCTGATTAAAAGACTGGTGGAACATCAAGGTTTTTTGGAATTCCATAAGAATCTGATAAATATCGATTGAAGTTTGGAGAAGAAAGTATTGGAGACTGGTATAGGGAGTGTGAGAAAGATATAAAGAATTTTCGGTAGGATGAGCATTTTTAATGTCGCTACTCTGCCTATTTTAGATAGTTCTGAGGTACGAAGGTTGGCAATTTCTTGGGGTATAGTTTCAAGTAATTTTTTTTGGTTTGAATTAAATAGTTGGTCTGTTGTGGCAGAGAGTTTGATTCCTAGATATGGGATGGTATTTTTTTCCCAGGTAAAGGGGAATTGTTTAGCAAGGG